TGCTCATAAGCTGACTTAAATGGGTTTCGTCCTTTGAGTCATGTGTACCTTAGCTTCATATACGAGGCAAGCCGCACGAACACCTACTGGACAGCCAACTACACCCAGGGCCTTACTACTTAAGGGTTTACGTATCTTCGCTTTCAGAAACTCGCTTCTTTATCGATGTATTCCCCCGTCGATCAATCATGTGTGTTAGCATCAGCTTGGTACTTTAGGTCGTAAGGTTGGCCCTGGTTCTTAACACTGTATGTTGTTAGCACGTGTTTCTATTCTTATTTAACGCCATCAGTAAGAAGGGTTGCCGTCGTATTCTGGGGCTTTTTTAAAATTTCTCCTTTCTCTGTTATTTAAGCTCTTTTCTTCGGTTTTGTTATTTGCCTGTCCTTTTTGTTTGTTTTCTGTTACTCATATCTCCTGTGCTTTCACACTCGGTCGATGAATATCTGGAGCATTTAAGAAGCCTTTATATGATTCTTATAGCATTCCTTCTGCTGTTCTGTAGTCTGCGTTTTAGTAGGTTTCCCTTATGTTTCGTGAAACTCAAAAACATTTCCTAGGCCCCAGTCATTTTTGAACCATAGTCTCATTACGTGCATCATATCTATCTCCACCGTAAGTATTGTCGAATTCATAGCCACAATATCTGCTTATCCTTTGGCCAATAAGATGACTGTGGAGTCACCAGATCCAGTCCGGCTATTCTATGCTCCGGACACGATCAGTAAATCGCAGCGAGGGAGTCCTTCAATTAACGCTTGCAGCTGCGCGTACATTTTTTTTTATCGTGCTATTCGCAAAAAAAGACGATATAAATGTTTGTGAAGTGACTTCAGTCGCCCACAGAGCATCTGTTTATTAGCTGTTTCCCAAGCAAGTAGTGCACGGTTTGCTTATTTCGAAAAGGCGATCGCCACCATACCCACCAGAGCAGCCGCGTGGACCACTATGGTCCAGAGAGAAGCGTGAGTTGGCTTTCCTTATCTTTATTTTCCGAGCGCCGACGTCGGGAATTCGGACTTCAGACAAACTGCAGGCATCTACGTCATGCTGATAAAGGCTGCGCACCTTCAAACTTTGAGTACCGGAGTCCAAGAAAGTTGGCACATTTCCGCATCCAATGCCAAAGGAGGCATCGAAGAGGAGGTCAAGCCAAATCTAGCTCATTGCATTTCGTCAAGACATGGGAGTGGTCCTTGGGCCTTTGAATTCGGCCTCTGTCACTGACGAAGAGAATGGGTTGAACTATCCAGATCTACTTCTGCAAATCGTCACGCATGAAGAGGTGCAGTTCACGACATCTTCGAGATCAACTAGATCAGACATGACCGCAGCCGTAACAAGTACAAATATCCTTCCTGTTTTTCTGTCTTGTTTGTCTGAACTTGGTTTTTTTGAAGGCTCCATATATTCCTGGTTTTACAACTTGTTTAACCTTGTCCAGTTTCGAGCTAGCTGTTACTTTGTGGCATTTAACAAAATTATATCCGTACCTTTCAGCCGCGCTGCGCGTGACGTCGAAATTCACGACCGATTTCCAGATACCGATTTTACTTTCCTGCATGGCAGCCGGTCCACTCGGTGGACGTCAATCGCCCCGGGCACTAATATCACGCATGCTGTGATTGTCATCCCACGCTTTGTCGGTGGTTACAATTTTACTAGCGCAGAAGTACTTTACAAGGCTGGAGCGGATTCAAAAGTCACCGTAATTTCTTCCAGTGTTGATTTTATTCTTTACATCGCCTTTACATACTTTTCTGTCATCTACTGACTGTGAGGAGTCAGTAGTCTTGTAGAAGGCTTGGTGGCTAGAATGCCGTTCATCCATGTCATCGGGAGTAGTATGGGATTTCCTTCACAGTGGCTTCCAATGCACAAAGCGATTTTAAAGTGGAGATTGATTTCCATCCCCCTTGTCACTTCGATAGTTATTAATACGCCCATCGGGCATTCTCTACTTACCATTGTTTCTCTTCTGTCTATTTGTGGGCTTATGCATGTCGCAATTAACTCCAGAACGTCCATATTTTCATAGGTATCCATTTATTGTCTGTTCACTATTCAGCTCTCGTTTCTAAGTATCATGCCCACATGGAGGAACCTGCTCCCTTGTTCATTTAGGTAAGGTTATTGAATTAAGAGTGTGGGCAACCTGAGTGCCAAAACCATT